TGCAGACTGAAGCTCAGTGCTAACTTTTATACGTTCTGACTTGGCTCCAAAAACCATTACCTCAGTTTTATCTTTGTTTAATTGGAGAAAGTTCTGACACATCCAGTCATTGATTTGTTCAATGCACTTACTCAGTGTTTGAATTGGAGCATAGTCTCCTGGTGAAATTGTTACGTAGATTTGTGTGTCATCTGCATAGCTATGGTAACTTATTTTGTTGTTCTTCATTATCTGAGCCAGTGGTAGCATGTAGATGTTAAAGAGAAGAGGCCCCAAGATGGAGCCTTGAGGAACCCCACATGTCATATTTGTCAACTCAGATGTGTATTTACCTATAGAAACAAAGTTGTTTCTGTCCTTTAAGTAGGATTCAAACCAATTTAGAACTGTTTCCGAAAGTCCCACCCAGTTTTCCAGTCGGTCGAGTAATATGTTGTGGTCAACAGTGTCAAACGCAGCACTGAGATCTAATAATACTAACACTGAAGTTCTGCCACTGTCTGTGTTTAAGTGGATGTCATTAAAGACCTTTACAAGAGCAGTCTCAGTGCTGTGGTTTGGACGAAAGCCTGACTGGAACACATCAAAACAGTTATTTAAATGCAAGAAATTAGTGGAAGATGATCACTGATGCTGATGTAGTTTTGACATAAACAATGCTCTTAAGTTATGGGTCTTTTTTTCATCTAGTTTGGTTGATAAGACATTTCCTGCATCTCACCACAGTGTTGGCCAATTAGTCAGCACAAATGTACTGAATGTACTAATATAGACTCCGTGTCTATGTATGTTAACAGCTCTGTCTGCTGCATTTGGAGGTTTTTCTACAGCTTGCTTTTTATTTGTAGGCTCCACTTCACCATTCTGAGACTCTCATTCTGTCTCTTGCACAAGTCTCGTCCATCCATACAAGATATCGGAAGTGGCCAGGCCTAGTAAAAAAAACAAAACGTATAGCTGTCTCGCTAATTCTTTTAAGAAGCAAAAAAAGCAGTGTAGCAGTAAACTCCTTTTCCATCCTTGATTTGTCTTAGAATCACATCATAATTAGAGACCATTTTCTTTCTCATTTAAACCTCTGTAATTCCTAATCCATTGTAACGTGACCATTAATGGCTCGTTTTTTACACTTGCTAAAGTCATTAGTCATTGCTAATTACCATATCGAATAGAGGAGGCCAGCCGGGGGATTTCTAATGAGAGTTTAGTACAGCAGATTCTCTGGGAGCTGTGGGTGGAGATCAGGATCTGACATACTGTAAAGAGATGTTCCAATTTGTTCTGCTGTCCATCATAACAGACACACATGAAGAGTTGAGAGTTGGTCTCTCTTATTCACTTCTTGTAATGGCTACAATTTGGAGAAACACGCACACACGCAAGAGGAAAACATACCTGGATTCATATCTACTGTGTGACTATGTGTGTAGAAAGCAGTCACACTGTGTCAGAGCCCCATAATCTGCAAATGTATTTCAGCTATAAAGGGTTTTAGCGTCTTTCAGTTAATTGTTTTGGTTTTTCTTTCGGCTCCCAACTTCAATGTTTATTTATTTAGTCTCACCAGTCAAGTTAACCCCAGTTCCAGACTTAACATCAGCTGTTTTATTTTTACATTACACATGTTGATGTTTAACTATTGATAAAAACCCTTATAGTGAAACATCTCACTCTTGCAACTGTAAGCACTTGAGTTACATAAGTAACCTAAATGTTCGGCAGAAAAACACCCCCCCCCCAATCATAAACTATCTGCAGACGGCACATTTTATAGCATTACATGTATATAAGAACATGTTTGCTACCACATAATGACACGATGATATGTATGCACTTGCTCAATATGGCCCAAAAAATGCTTATCTTTGTTCCGAAGTCGTGATCTCTCATAGTCACTCCACATGTTAAATATGCGGTTATTTCTAACTTGTGTTAGTTGAAACTGTTAATAGCTAGACTAACATTTGGATTTAGTACTGGATGTAAGTGTAAGGACATACTATCAGGTCTGAATTAGATTGAAAATCAACAAAAATATTTTTGATTAATCATTATAGCATTTGTTTTTTCTCAGAGCCTATAATTATGTTTTGAAATGTTATTCTGAACGAAATAAAACACACAGGCCTATTTTCTAGTTAAAGTTCCTTATTAAATGACCCTATCAATTAATACATTCCAAAAATTCAGCTCTCCATTGAGACTCAGTTGTTCTGCATTCCTCCATCACTATACTACGAGTGCATTTGCTGCTCTCATTTCTATTCATTTTTATTCCTTTTGCAATAAAATGGGCAGACTGAATAATTGATTAATCATTGCCTTAACAAGACTATGAAATGACAGTGCTACTTGGCAAGATTTCGCGTGCTGTAGTTAACGTTTTACTGATGCACCAAAGTCGGTTGTGCAATAATGTATGAGGAGCGGGAAGGAGGCTCAGAAGGAAGCGAGAGTTCAAAAAGAGACAAACAGGTCTGTGTTTGCCAGTCGCTCTGCTCGACTAGGGAGGACTGCTGCAGGAGAATCAAGACACACACACACACACGCTCACACACATGTACGCACACATTTCCCTTTCTCTCAGTCAGTAAATGGTGACCTGGTTGTATTTTTGCTCAGACAAACTCACACATTGTCTTCAGGAAGAAATAGTATGAGTGTGTATGTGTGTGTGTTTTTGCTCATGCATAGCTGAATGCGTCAGTGTCAGTGCCAAGGTGTAGGCCATTGTTGTCTGGCCCAAAACAAGCGCCTGTCAGCCCCCCCAGCATGAATAGACAGGCAGGGAGCACAGCCGAGACGTAGGGTGGATGCAGGGGAAAGGAGAGAAGAAAGGAGAGGAAGAGAGAGCCATAGAAAGGGAAAAAGGGACGATTGAAGGAGAAGGATTAGACAGCTGTTTACTGCCAGCAGCAGTCAAAGCTAAGGAGTTTGTCAGCCTCTGGTGGTACTACCCAGTTTACTTTTCATCTACGCCATTTACCCCTCTCCCTCCATCTCACTTGAATAGCTGGATCAGCCTAACAAACTGTCTCTCCACCCTCCCTTATGTTAGAGCAGATCTTAGTTTGTTAAAGTGTCCCTCATCATGCTTTCTTACAGTACCTATGATTTTCTAGATACATAACATAAGCCCAAAGGTCTCATTAGCATTTCTCATTCAGTGTGATGCTGTGATATGGTGTCAAGCGATACGGATAATGTTTTTTTTAAATTTAAATTAATTGTATTTCCGGGGAAAAATGCACTTTCAGTGAAAAAAGTTTTGCAGATGTCACCCTGGACTTTTTTTGTTGTCATCTTTTTACAACTTGATCTTAAGATAATATTGACCTGTATTTATTCCATACTAATAGTACGGATTTTCATGACCTTATAATACTTTTGCCACTTTATGAAAATACTACGACGTTGAAATCCTTGATTAACCCTTTTACATTTAAACTCCCAATAGTTATTTCCACTTAATTTGGTCATCTTGTGACCCTGTATTTTCTTTGTGATTTCTCCCTCTTTATGGAAGTAGTTGATATTATTTCTACATGTAGACATTTCTTGATTCACAGTTTATCAGTTTATCATAAAACGTTTTGATGCTGAGGGGAATTGTTTTGCAGCAGTTGCAGGTAAATGCAGGAAAGAGTGGCAACATAAATGTGTGATGAAGAGCTCAGCATGGGGTTTACAATGATCAGAGCTCATTGACCTCCATTGACTTGGACGCTGATACAGTAGGTGCTGCGGGCGCCTATGGATTGATGGGTTCTTCTTAAACTATGTTCACATGAATATGTATACATTTAATCTGTCAAAGAAAGATGTGGTAAACTTTAGAGTATAAGTATGTCAGTGTGTGGAATGTTTTACTTCTATAACTATGCAGAGCTGACACGGAGAGTTATGACACAAGAAAATTGTGAATTATTTACTGCAACACTAAATATGCACAAAGGTATCTGAAAGAGCATGTTGCTTTTCTCACTGCGCAGAAAAGCTTAACCGTACCCACTCCCTTTTGAACAGTGATCAGTGAACAAGTCAGAAACAACACACACACACACACACACACACACACACACACACACACACACACACACACACACACACACTGCAGACAGCTCTGCGTTCTCCCAACTGATTTTCAAAGGCTCTGCATCCATCCTGTGTTTGCTCTGCGCTCGCTCCCTGACTGCTCTCTCATCATCCGCCCGTCATCTGAAAAGCATCTTAAATGATAACGTCTTAGCTTCTCCCTTCCTTTTTTTTCATACTTAATCTCGCCTTCATGTTCACGCTCCATTTGGCTTGACGGCACAAAGGTGAATCATGAAAGCCTTTTTTGTTTCAGATTTGTGACATGTTCATTGCTTAAGCTCCCCTGCTCTGTGCCTCGGCTCTGTTAGCGGGGACCCGGCGTGCTACGCAACATGATTTCTGCTGTCGCTGTTGTTCGAGCTGACTCCTCTTGGGGTGAGGATACACGCACAAAGAGATAGAGAGAGAGAAGACACCGCAATTTTACTCATGGGATTTTGCTCCTAAATCCCCCAGTTGTTGTTTTTTCGTTGTTTTTTTTAATAAATGCAATTAGAGAATTGGCTAAGTGTTCCCCTCGGCCTATTAATTTCCAACAATTAAAGTGCGTGGTTCAACAAAACATATTGGCAACTTTCTTAAAGTGAGATTAATTTGGCAGACAGAAAGCTGAGTGGGCCTTGTGGATCTGGTTATCTTTCCTTAGCACATGGGTCTAAGCTCTCCAAGCCTGGTGGAACGAAGATGTGTGAGTGCAGACCGAGTGTGAGGCTATGTAGGTCATTTGGATGGTGTCTACATCACAAGGTATTTAGATTACTTTTCTTGATTGCGTGCAAAACTGTCGAGAAAAAGACAGTGTTGCTATTTGTCTTCCATGGCACTGCTTTAACATGTAATTGACTCCTGATTGTCTCCAATCTATTTGTGACTAACCAAAGGTCCTGCCCTTCTTTTTTTAGCTCTCTGTCGGGCCGCATTGTTGGAGGCGTGTGGTGGTTCTTCACCCTCATCATCATCTCCTCCTATACTGCCAACTTGGCTGCCTTTCTGACAGTGGAGAGGATGGTGTCTCCTATAGAGAGCGCTGAGGATTTGGCCAAGCAGACGGAGATCGCCTATGGAACGCTGGATGCCGGCTCCACCAAAGAATTCTTCAGGGTGAGGAACCGAGATTGAAACATTCATTCAGACCATCAATGTCTACCTGTGTGACAGATACACAGCATTCCTGCTACTGCTTCACAATGAAATCAACCCTGTGGTTGGCAGCCAGTTGGACGCTTTTAATGTGAAGAAGCATCAGAAGTTATTTTAGGAGTTACAGCAAACAGTAAGGCTCACATCCACAAGATAAAATTACTCACGGTAATACTGGATATCATGCATCCTTCATTTCCCGTTGAATCCAGAATAGGAATGGCCTGCTATGCCGCTAAAATGAAAATTACTAGATGGTTAGCTAACTACAAAATGTACATACATTAAATTGCTATTGAAAACAAATGCCAACCATAGAAAGTATTTCAAAATGATAAAATGGAACATTTGAAGTATTATAACAATAACACTAGAGATGCCTGATGGCAATTTTCTTCTTCAAATTTCAAAATCTGATTTTTGCTGGATCGATTTATTTACTCTCTGAGAACTAAAATTGACAGTGTTCAGTAACCTTTAAATTTAAAATGTTCAAAGAATTGTTTAAATCTTGAACAGGTTGGGCGGTATTCTTGTTGTCAAACCCTTGTTAGGTTTAATCTTGATTTCTTCTTCATTCTTCACGGAAATGTAAAACTGATAGGCCGGTCACCAGTCGAGGCAGGTTCAAATTAATATTATTAAAATCTAATTATTGTATGAAAATGTAAATAATTATAGCTTCAAAACAGCATCATATATCTTTAACTTAGAGTATTCACACTGACATTGTCTCTTTCTCTGTCTTCCCATCTCTTTCTTCAACAATTCAGAGGTCGAAGATCGCCGTGTTTGAGAAGATGTGGTCGTACATGAAGTCGGCCGACCCGCCTGTGTTTGTCAAGACGACAGACGAGGGCGTGATGAGAGTCAGGAAGTCTAAGGGCAAGTATGCCTACCTGTTGGAGTCCACAATGAACGAGTACATAGAGCAGAGGAAACCGTGCGACACTATGAAGGTGGGAGGAAACCTTGACTCTAAAGGTTATGGCATCGCCACACCAAAGGGCTCCCCTCTCAGGTAAGCCCCTGCCACTGCAGTATGGCTATCTAGAGCCTATGAGAGCTTTTAGTGGAGCTTGTGCATGAGCCTCATCCGTGACCTGTTGATTTGTCCATTGACCTTAGTTATTGAAGCCTTTATGCATACTTTTTTATCATAATACAACAACATTTCAGTATTAGTATCCTGTTTTGTGCTCAGAAATATAACGCATGGCATCCATTTGTACAGCTTCATTTAACTTAGCCTTTTTTTTGCACACTGTCACATTTACATCTTCATTACTCCAATGTTCAACACTACCAACCATCTTTAATTGTGCTTGCATATGAATGTATGCAGATAGCCTATTCATAGCTGACTTGTGAGCAGTAGCAGGAGTGTAAAGTAGGACTATGAGATGCACCATCCTGTTTAAGCAGCACTTGTTTTCCTGCTGCCATATAATTACATTCTAAACCTTGATGAGCATGTGTTGTGGCTGGTGACTGCTTTGAACCTGAAGTGTCCCCTTCAACACAAAGAAACTCGTACAAAATTTAAATGCACCTCTCACGAACCAACAAGGCCTTTAAAAGCAGGATAACCATTTATGGAGGGCTTCAATCCATATGGCTACTTTTCCACTTACGCCAAGGCTCACACTTCAAATGTGATGTCAGCGGAGATGAATTTATATTTGACACATTCAATGTGATAATGAATGTAATGAACAATTATTCATACTTGATGTGCTACCTTTTCATATTACATTAACACCCTAAACTAAGTTCCCATTTATATGTGTCTTGGAACTACAGAGAGAGCGCTGGAGCTGGTGGCATCTGAAGCTTTTAATCTATCTTTATTAAGCCTCATTCAATGAAAACAGCCATATGGGGAGATTTTATTCAAACTTACTAAAGATACATTCAGGCTTTCCACCTTGTTTGACAGCCCCAAGAAAGAGCCCGCTGTCTAGAGATGTCATTAACGTCTTATTCGAGGCTCCATTTAAATTTTCATTAAAAACACAGTTCAAGCAGCAACTAAGTGTTGTATTAGTGACAATATAACTGGTGAGAGTAATCTGCTCACAGGTCATTTCAGATTGGTCCAAACCTATAATGTAGCAATGTGCTGCTGTGTTGATCAGCTGAGGATGTCCCCATTATCTCTTTCTCTCTCTGTTAATGTGATATTTTATATTCTGTGGACATTCGCATATGTCTGATACTGAGTTTTGGCCACATATGACAAACATTCATGACTGATTATGTTCCTAATAATTCATACATGTTAATGGTTAAAGGAGAACTTGACTACTTGTCACCTGGGGTCAGACATCAGGGGATGTCCACTGAATTCAAAGAGTTGGGTTCAATGATACCTGCAATGCATTGTTAATGCAACGATTTGCAATTGATTTGACTTTTTCTCTCTTTAAAACCTTTAACTCAGGGTCTGGTTATTATTTTAAATACATACCGTACAGTAACATACACAGTTTACGATATTTGATTACTGGTGATGTGTATGGTTAGAGGGCTTACAAACAGCACAAATATTAGTCTGTCCATCCAACTTTTCAACAACTTTTCACTAAGTTATAATGACACTGTCAGTATATTAAAAGCTTACGAATGTTTTCACAAGTGTAGAGTAACAGTAGTACCTTAACACATCAAAGTAAGCTCACTGCAGCACATAAACAAAGCAGAAAAGAAAATGTGTAATATGATACTCAATCTGCTTATTAAGGTCAGTATTGGGGCTGTTCTGACCTGACAGATCTGAGCCACTGGATATATGACAATACATATGCATTCTAACATGCGTATTGCAGTGCAGGTCTAATTGAAAGTAGCACTTTGAAAATAAAGATACTAAAATGACCTAACTCTTCATTTTACAGGATGTACTGACGACCTGTCTTCAAACTACACGTCTGTGAAATGTTCTGTATATATTCCCCCTGCTTCATTTGTACACGTATGATTTCCAGCCACCACCATGCCTGCCTGACTGTTAAACTCATCCCACCTTACATGCAGTACAGTAGCCTGACTGACATGTCTGCTCACTTCAAACGTAACAAGTGACCTGCAGGTCTCCATGTTCACTCACTTTGACTTCTTTTATTCTGCCTGCTTACTCTGGGCTGAGAAAGAATTCAGAGGTTTTACCAGCTCCGAGGATACCTGTGTTCCCTACAGCTGTGTTGTTTATTAGGGTTAGGGGGGAAAGACTCTTCTGCGTCTGTTGGGGAGAAAGGCACAATACCAAACTCAAATTTCACTCCACAGAAGAATTTACACTGATTTGAGAGAAAAAACAATCTGGTAACGGCTGTAATCTTCACTTCTTTTATGCAAATTCTGATTGCAGAGTGTGCCTTTCTGTGATTTGTGGATGGAGAGAGTCTTTGTCCGTGGCCCTTCAGTCAGCTATAGGAAATACACACACACGCTCACCAGAGACAGAGAGCAAGCCTTGGGGAGATGCTTTGGATGAGCTGCTTCATATAGATTCACGATCAGGACTCCGTCTACAGTTGGCCACACAGTTTCCTTTCAGCCTGATTAGGAAACAGCTTGATGTGGAATTGAACCTGGCAGTTAAAACATTGAAAACCTCAGTCTGCATTTGTATCTTCTTACAGTTCAAAATGAATCAAGACAGGCTTCTATTCACTGAGAAGCACTTGTGGTTTGAATATTGATGTGTTAGTTACCATAGCAATCTGTATGCTGGAGCCACTGAAAGGAAATTACCATCTGTAGACCGACTTCCGCATCCAAGGCATCTCCATTCACAGTCTGTGCTCTGCCTCCTTCTGAGGCCCCTGATGGTAAAACCTGACTCTGCTACTGTATGGGCACTCTTCAGCCCATTGCAGATACACAACTAACATGCATCTAAAGACAGCACTCCTGCTCCATATCAGTAGTCACATGCAGGAGTTTCAATGTCAATCTTTTCATAATCACCACCACCATGCGACCAATCTCTTTATATCTGTCCCATAGAGTGTCTCCTAATGGTTATCGTTTTATCATATTTTCAAGAAACCCAGTAAACCTGGCAGTGTTAAAACTGAACGAGCAGGGCCTCTTGGACAAATTGAAAAACAAGTGGTGGTACGACAAGGGAGAGTGCGGCAGCGGGGGCGGGGACTCCAAGGTCAGAGCCAGTTTGATAAACCCTGCGGGTAACCCACCACCACTGGGAGTGGGAGGTTGTGGGGAGGGGGGCAACCGGCAGGCCCACACTGCACTGCCACTCTAGCAACACTTAATCTCTCTGTGGTGTAGCGAAAGGGCAAAGAAAACGTGCGAAGGGGGGTGATTATTTGGCCAGCGGTGGCTATATTTGCAAACCACAGAGAGGGACATTTTGTATCATGTCCCCTGCTTCAACTAAACCAGCATTGATGATTTTATAAAGTGATCAGTGTTTATTAATTAAACCATCTGCATCCCTGGTGCTCAATCGTGTTTTAAGAGCCCATGCTTCTATTTCAAAGTAGATGTTAACTTTAGCAAATTACGCCTTTCACAAAAGATGCAATTGGGACCTCTGTGTTGCTTAAGTGACGTTCGCAGTGTGCCGGTTACCCCGAAGTGATATAGTAATACACATCTAGTGTCTCAGGGAGCCACCAACCAAGCTAGATGGAGTATTAATGCATATCACTTTAACTCTGATGTTTATAATGATGTTTCTGCTTTATATACATGTGTGTGTGGTGTGTGTGAAAAGGTGTTGTTTTTTACATTTTAAGCAAGCATTAACGTGTGTATATAATTGCTGCTCTGTGTCTCTGAATCAATAACATAAAATAACATGGTATAATATGTTATTTATGTTATTTTCTTATGGTTGGAAGAATCCCAGTAAACCTAGCGGTGTTGAAATTCAATGAGCAAGCCGTCTTAGACAAACTGAAAAACAAATGGTGGTACGATAAAGGGGAGTGTGGCAGCAAGGACTCCGGAAGAAAGGTTAGTCTCCGACCCAAAACCTGTCCCCTCACACCACCTCCAAGCACTACCCCTGATCCTAGACCAGCCCCCAAGTCCAGCCCTCAGCCTCTATTACACTGAGCAGTACCCCCCATGTGGTTCTAGCAGTACTGCTGTATTGGCCCGAACATAAGGCAAACTCCCATGTACCAGTTTTGGGATAGACTTAAACATCGGCTGAACACTATACAGAACAATATACAGTAGGCAGATACACTGTGCTTAACATATATTGTGTTAGATAATCAATATTTAAATCTGCTAAAATAAATTACTGAATTAAATCCTCTTGATTTAATTAAAAAAAATGTTTTAGTTTGAAAGTCCTACTGCTGAGAATAAATGATACATACGTGTAATGCCGTGATCAGCAAGCACTTTTAAACGTGGGAATTTGTTTAATTGGGTTTGACATTTTTCTAGAATGACAGTCCAGTCCATTTGTGCTGTAACATTAACATGTGGCAGCAGAACCGTTCCTTAAGTTAAACAGAGTCTGCCTGATTTGTAACTGGCCAATGCCAATAAAAAGACCATAGTTAATGCCAAAGCAAAGTTTAACAGTAGTAGAAATAGAGCGGGTTCATAAAGTCAGCAGACTGACTCAGTTATGTCAGTTGAACCACAATATCTTTCTGGGGTAGGGCTGCTCGATTATGGCAAAAATCATAATCTCGATTATTTGGATCAATAATCAAAAAAACGATTATCCATTTACTTTGAAAACATCAATTTATTGGAGAAAACAAATTTGAACAGTATGTTTTTAACAGTTGATTACCCTGAACTTTAAGTATAATTCAGCTGAAAAACCAATACAAAAAAAATAATTAAAAAAGAAAAGTAATAATAATAATACAAAAATAATCGTTTTATTTCTTTTACGTTGTTTTCGTAATCGTTGCAAGCCATAATCGTAATTGCGATTACAATTCTGGGGTAGGCAAACATTAGCCATCAAAAGCTAAAATCATTGTCTTATATTCGGGCCATTACTCCCGTGTTTCTCTTGTGTCTTTTTTTCCTGCTGAGTTTGTTTTTTTCAGATATTTAATGTTCATTGACAGTGTGTAAATAGATATTGTGTGGTGGAGATTAGTTAGGATTGTAAAACATTTTACTAATCCACCACAACATGTTTTACTAAAAAAATATTTATTTTAAATATATAACCTCTGCAGTCACCTGCAAGTAAAAAGTGGTATGAGTAATTTGTATTCCACTTCGAGTCCCCTTAAAAATGCATTTCCAACCTCTCCAACATACAGATCAAGTGTGATGATAACCTTGAGTTTGTACTGTAGATTGAATATGAATCAGTTTAAACGCAATCTGCAATTCCTTCCCAAGGAGAAAGACTTAGAGAGAAGGACGTGAGGGGGACAGATGATGACATTAGGCATTTGACTTTGCTTAACCTTTCAAACATGTTGAGCTGTAACCTTTTGCGTTCTGGTCCTTATAATAATCCTGCCCCTAGCGCTCTGCACTGTGTCCATGTGTGGATGCAAACCCTGGCAATCTGCTAGAACGACCCTGAGTCACACCAAGTCTGCCACTGTGCTCATACATTATCAGTTAATGCTGTCTTCTGTTTCAAACAGTAGTTTTCCCTGACAGAAAAGCTTGAATGTGTTTGCCAGCTGGCCTTCTGAACCTGTCAACACAGTACAAGTGCCAACCTTTTTGTCATCCTTTTCCTTACATTTGGATACTCAAGGACAGGGGTGTGAAATGATGTGCCATGACGGGCTGAAGAAATTGAGATTTATCTAAGAATGTATCATAGAGTTCCATTTAAGGAGAGATTTTGTAGCATAATAGAGTTTTGCTAGTCTACAGTCACATCTATATGTAAATGTACTCCGCAATGACATTTGAAATCCCTTATAGTAAAGATGTATTCATTTTGCAACATACATTGACTTGTAAGTTATCATTTGACAGTTTGGGAAATGGTCTTGTTGCTTTGGAGCAGAAAGTTATATAATATGATTCATACCACTGAATACCGCTAACTACCTGAATGTAGCTAACAACAGCCAACAGCTAAAGTTAGCTTAGGCTAGCAGAAGGATAATCATGGAAAAGCTATGCTATCTCTATCCCAACGGGACCAATTCTGCCTACCAGCACCTCTAACGCTAACTGATTAGCCAGGTAAACCTCATATATAAAAACAAAAAAAATGTCCAAATGTCCCTAGCTGTTTACACATGTTGAAGTCTTTATGCTAACATAAGCTTACTTAAAGGCCAGTGCTGTTGATCTTTTTATCTATCACTCTGCAAGAAGGGAAAAAGCTATTCTTTAAATATTTAGTCAGCATTCACAACCTGAATAATGTGATAGATTTGACTGTCAGTAGTATCCCCATCTGCTTAAAAAACTCACAAGTTTTCCCAAACTACTCCAACTCACTACCCTAAATTACGCAAATAGCTTTATGAAGGGCTTAGACTAGAGACTTAATAAGTACTTTGGGTGGTATAATTTTAGTTTTTTTGTTTGGACACACATTGTATTTTAATTTTTTTTTAAGGAATTGGTGCATAGGACCGACTCCAGGAAGTTTAGCAATTATAGCTCCCAGGGATAAACAAAAATGTAGCAGAAGAGAATTAAATGGTCATTCAAATGAAGTGTAGTCCATGTGTGATGCAAAAAGCTGCAATCTCTCAGTCCTCCATAGCACATAGTTTGACACATATTCCCTGGTATAAAATGTATTTTCATAATTCTACTGACTCACAGGGTATCCACTTTATCGTCGGTCAAAATGTAGATTTAATGTAATTGAAATGATCATTTTCCCATAGGCTTAAAAACGTTTGGTTTAAGTGAATAGAACAAATAAAAGCCCAAATGTAGAGGTAGAGTTCAGAGGCATAATAAAGTGTTTTCATGTTCTATTAATCTCCTCAAGTGACACAAATATATTCCAAAAATTGATTTACATAAAACAACATCCTCATTAGACCCCATTGTTTCACGAGAGCCCTTTAGGTTGACTCATTTAAGTCTTAATGGTTCCCTTTGATAGTAGACTATAAATAGGCATAAATGTGAGTTAAGTGCAATAGAGAATAATGACCTATAAAACCAAGATTTGTTTGTGCTGTTGCTGCATGAATGCATGTGTTGTGGAGTGCATTTTTACTTTACCCCTATCCCCTTAAAAAAATGTGTTTCAGTATTTGACTTTAAATGTTAATATATGTTTTGTTTAAAAAGATTAGTATTGTATAAATAAGTAATATAAATTCCAGACCAGTATTTATTGTCATCTTCTGGGGCCTGTCTCACAAAGCGAGTGCAATACAGTCAGCTTTTAAGATATGCCTCAATAATATGGCTCCCACGTGAATATGCTAGGTAGCCTGAAACAGGGAATACGTGTCTTCTTTATCAATTGAAAGGTTTCAATATATTTGCTTGTGATCAGGATTTTGATTTCCCAAATTAAAACAAATACTTGATAAATGCCTTTGACTAAAATGTACATTGAATAAATCACTGGGAGATCATTTTGGGTGTCCTTTTTTAAATCAACAAAGTTGATGTCTACAATGCATACGATATGCAGAAGTGGATTTCACTATTTGCTTTTTTCAACTATACAATGGTTTCACTGTTTCTTAAGAAGCCATTGAGAGCAGCATTGACTACACTACACAACTGAAATATATTTATTGACAACAATTACACTCATTGTACCAGTTTGTGTAGAGTTATGTTGAGATGTTAAAACCTCTACTTTAGCTATTTTGTGAAACTAAAATAGCCAATTTTGAGCCAATATTGTATCTTAAGTTATCCAGCATACACATGCAATCTTACTTTGTGAGACAAGCCTCCAAAATATGGTTCCGTTAAAGATGTGTGTGTGTGTGTGTGTGTGTGTGTGTGTGTGTGTGTGTGTGTGTGTGTGTGTGTGTGTGTGTGTGTGTGTGTGTGTGTGTGTGTGTGTGTGTGTGTGTGTGTGTGTGTGTGTGTGTGTGTGTGTTGTCCTCTGGTCTTTTACTATACATGTTATTTGTATATTATATGTGCTGTATGTTGTCTCTATGTGGGCCTAGTTCGTCTTCAGGGTCATCTGTATAAAATGTGTGTACTCTTAAGTGTGTATGGGTTTGTGTATATGTATGTGTTCCTATGCTGTAATGTATTTAAGTTCAACAAATGTTTGTCTATAATTAAGTGTGTATGAATCAGTGTTTTAGTCCTGTGTGTTTAAAGCTGTTTTGTTGCCACTATCTTTCCTCACCCCTTGGCTCTGCCCTCTTCCCTCCTTCCCTCCCTCCAGGACAAGACAAGCGCTCTGAGCCTCAGCAATGTGGCGGGGGTCTTCTACATCCTGATCGGCGGCCTGGGCCTGGCCATGCTGGTGGCGCTGGTGGAGTTCTGCTACAAGTCCAGGACCGAGTCGCGCCGAATGAAGGTGTCCACCGCGCGAGCCGCTGCCGCCTCAGCCGCTCAGGCCTTTCACTGCTCAGCCTTAGACAGTGGTGCTAGCGCCCCCTACACAGAGCTGCAGAGCTACGGCCTGTACGCCAACAACACTGTTAAGATATAAGGGCAGAGCACAGCCATGGGGTAGGAAACGCTGTGATTCAAACCATGATGATGATGACATCCGCCTCTTCACCCTTCCGCCCATCTAACCGTGATCACAGTAGGGCCTCTGTTGGCTTCCACCGCAGTGCAAACGCTGTCCTGTACCTCTCTCTAACTCTGCCGCTACCTCGCTCAGTCTTTACGTCCCTGATCTACTGCAATGTTGTTGAATCACTTAATTCTAAAATTGCCATTATGCCTGTTTTTTTATTTGTAGCACTTTAGCTGATATTACAGAACTACAGAGCCAAGAGAGAAACAATACTGTAAAGATCATCTTTTTAAAAAAAATTGGGGGTAATCTTTCTGAAATTCATAATTATTTTTGTTCATCCAAAACAGGAAGGGAAACGATATTTGCTAGGTTAAAACATGTAATTGTTGTTGTAATACAAATGTTCGCCACTACAGACTAAAAGTGCACCACTACCCCACGTTTTCCCTTAAGATGTAATATTTCTGTGCACTTCAAACACATATACTTACATTGTGTTAAGTACTTTTTACTGCTAATTTACCGTAAGGTAAAAGTCAAGTTCTTTAAGTCTTCTTATTTAAAGGGGTAGTGGTGCACTTCAGCCTCTTGTGGCAGACATGAGTATTACAACAACAAACTGAATAAAATAAATGTATTTAAATCTAACTTAGAAAACGTTTTTTCTTTTTCTAACATGCCTCTCAGGGCAGTTAGTTTTGCAGGGTTGAACTCATCTTGAGAAAAGGTTGTCTTTAAATGTACCTTTTGCTCTCATCCCCTTTACAGTATTATATTGACAATGTGTTTCTATAAAGATTTGATTTATATGAGTTACTCACTGAGTTTGATTATATGAAATCCTAAACTAATTAAATGCACATAAAAAAAATGCAAATTCTAGTTAAATCCCATTACTCTGCTCATTTATATAATCTCACAAATTAATATGTTTCACTACTTTTACAGCACAGGTATAAAGGCAATTTGAATTACAGTGGTACATCTATCTACCTCTGTCGCTCTGAGCAAATCTCTCCTTTGCTCCTTCTTCTCTTTTTGCTGACTGTCTCGCAAACGCAGGGCCCATTGTGGTGAACATCCTTTATATGTATACCATAAGGCAGGCCTGGTACATGTGTGTTATCACTGCTCTAACCTCAAACAGTCTAACTCAAACTGTTGTCTGTCCAAAAACTAAAAGGAAGGACTTGTTGCTTGTTATATTTTATCGGGAAATGTGAGATTTCTCCTGACAGCAGTGGTATTGTAGCTTTTAGTCTTCTGCTTCATGGATCAATTTGCAACAAACAACCTTTGTTTTATTCTTTCAACATCAAAGGCCCCGCTGATATACTCTCTGTGTAAACAGCGAAAAAGACAAGACAGGCCCAAGACAAGGACTGATTTTCAACATGAGTCTCTTACGTGTTAATCAGCCCACAAAGAGGCTCCTGGTCAGTATGCTGATGAGATTTGCGAGCAGCCTATTAGTGCAGAAGTGCCTTTATGCTGTTTGGCTTGAAAGAAACAACAACGGCGTTCCAATTAGAGGCTGGTGTGAATCTCCAAACCCCATGCAGCACTCACCAGTTCCTCTAGATCTCACTCGCTTTGCCCAATTGAATCCACTATAGGGGGTGCAGGAAAACACTAAAGACACACACACATGTGTATCACACATCATTAGGTTGGCTTTCAGGCTCAGTGGCTTTTATGACGCTAGAATGGGGAATTAAGCTATTAAACCAATGAGTGAAGCCTCAACCCCCTTCTTACTGCCCACACTTTGCTCTGCTCCTCCTGTTGCAGAGTGGGACATTGATCGGCCGGCACCACGGTTTACCACCCGTGAATATCACTCAGACCCACATTAAGAGGGTGAAAACCGGCACCCGGTGACTCCTAACAGCTACATCTGCTCCTAAATTTCTTGGCGGGCCAGCAACACATTTAGATAGACATAAAAAGCTGATTAAATTCATCTTATAAAGAAAGATAAACTGCATAACCTATCTTTATTGTCCTATATTTTAAAGTCCTTTTATAGTAATTGTCTGCGCTGCTACCTCTAACTGTTGCATTAACTCTGCTCTGATTAGGATATAATGCATGCATGTGTGTAAGAGTGAGATATGTGGACTAACTATAATTTATGTTTCTGTCTTCAGCAATCCATCAACGACGCCATGCGCTGCTCCACCCTGACCCGAATGAGTGGCAACGGAAGCGGCGGAGAGAACGGACGAATCCTCACCCACGACTTCCCCAAGACCGTTCAGACGCTGCCCTGTATGAGCCACACCGCCAGCATGGGACTGGGTGCCTCCGGCATGTGATCCTCACATGACTGTGCTGGCGGCGAGGAATAGGCAGGGTGAGGCAGAACAAGAGCACAAGACTCTAAATCTCAAAAATCATGGCTGTTTGGTTTGACCCATCTTTCCTCCAGGCTGTCAACATGCCCGACTTGAACAAGACTTTACCTACTGCCAAAATGCACTCTCGAACCGCTCATTACAAAACTGAGACTCGCAACATTTTTTTTAATAAGTGGATGTTTGAAAAAACAGACACTGAGGAAAAAAAAAAAGGGATTTGTGCTGCAATAAAGAAGCCGTCAACGGGGCGTGTTTTTGGAATTTTTTACAGTGTTAATTTTTGTGGTAAGAAAATAACTTTATTGTTTAGTGTGACGCCTGCGCTGTGCCATTTCGATGGAGCTGTTGACGTCAGTCTGCTTGTGCAATATCTTCACTTCCACTGCTGACCTTGTACTACCTAGATGCTTTCTGATGGCTGATGGAACATGTCTTTGCACAGATGTGGCAGGGGTGGACAAACACTTGTGACTGCTACGATGATTTCATATTGTTTTGGGACACTCCTGCTCTCTTTCCCTCTCACATTTACACGCCATTTTGGGAGGACAAAGTGCTCTGCGGAGCAAAGACAGATTTTAAGATAAAGTATATGGTTTTACAAAACTGTAATAGCGCAAAGATATTTGTCACAAGGTTGATTCGATGTATCCGCAACTGAAGGTGAACACCGTTTAGATCAGCAGTTGACCAGGCCACAACAAACATGCATTGCTGCTACACCTCATTTAACACAACATGCCTTGTCTTTGTGCCATATGACCATTCTCACACATACACACAGATACACACTTGTTTCTCCTGGGTAAGAGATCATATTTAGTCAGAGATTCATCACTTGACCTAACAAAGGCTATAAAACAGGAACAAAACAAAACACTGACACATTACTCCATGGCTTTGTACAGTACTGAGTGACCTTACACTGTATTCTACTGTTGTGACATTCATAGCATATCCATGGATATACTGGGGAGTCTATTTGCAGCAAACATTGAAGAACAATGATTGACAGATTCAGATATAATCTGCAGAAAATATTCTTCAAACTATTGTTAGAGCTGCATAATTCCCTCCCTCCTGTGATGTATTTTCAGCTGTATTCAGTTTTTATTGATATGGGCAGTGAAGCCACTCAATTCATCCCGTGCAGATCGTGCGCGACCTATAAAGGGGAAATTGGCCTCCTCTAGCTAGCTTAGAATTGAAACATGCGATGTGACTGGCAGACTCACCTTCACATTTGTCCGTGTTTATTAACAGTCAAGGTTTCCGTTTGTCTCATACTGCCTGGCTGTAGAGTTCTTCCTTTTTCAGATGTCATGTAAACAGAATTAGAGCGGCGGGTCCTGAACAGCAGAGGGCAGAGATGACAAAGGGCAGACTGCCTCGGTTTGGCATGTTAAACCAACATTCCACCATTTCAATACTTCTAACACAAAATGACTATTGGTGATGTGCTTTGCATTTCTAGGGTCGTTATGTCCGTTAGTGGTACACACAGCAGAAAACGGACTTGGGGTCATAACAGGCAATTTAAATGAAAGAAAAGAATAAGGCTGGCATAATTATATATTTTCTTTTTGTCAACAAATATTGTGAAAACACACAACAACAGGATGTCATCTATTTGGAGGATTAAGCAATATATGCCACAATAAGTGAGGACATTTTCAGTTTGCCATCCAACGAATCGGATGAAACAGCACCCACGTAATCCCAACAAAGCTGATTACTTTTCAGTGTTAAACTATTAATGAACTTAACAAGTTTTTATGACTTTTGACTTTGCATGTCTTAATGAATGTGTAATGTTTTGATGGAATTTAAAACTTCTTAACTCCTTACCCCGTTTGTGTCTACAGAAGGCGTACATATTAAAAACATCATACAAATGTAATGTTTTAAATTTAAAGAATGCTTGGTATTTTTGCTTAAACAACCGACTTGGTTATGTAGTTTTATGAAAATGTTACTTAAACAGAAATACATAGAGCATATACTATACTATACTATAATTCAGTGACGGATTAATACACAATTGATGCACTGGTATACTATATGAAGTATATATAACAGCCAGGAAGTGTGGTACTAAACTACAGTGCCCTTATTTATAAGTTAATAAAAGAATATTTCAGCCAGAAGCTGTGGATCATTCATATGTTTTTAAATAAAATACAATAGCAAACAATTAAGTACACAGGCGATACTTGATTGTAAGATTACTTTATTGTCAGTTGTAGTCTTTTCATAGGAAATGTTGACAACAAGAAGAATATTGAATTTGGACAGCCTCATCCTTTAAACTTTAAATCTTGTAGGTGAAAACTGCCATAGCTGGAATAAAACTTGTAATAATGCTTCACAGCCCGAGGTTATATAAAGGGTACATTCCGTGCCTTCTTCCAAAACAAGCATCTGCTCCTCTTACCTTTCCACCTACACAAATCTTCCACTCTCATTTCGGGTAGATGAAAGATGAGGAATAATGTATAAGAAATCGTAAAACTGCAGTAATTCATCACAACATAAGCCCTGAAATGCACTGAACATCATCATCTCCACTCACGGTCGACATCAGACAGTGTCCAAAGGTGCGGTTTTTACTTTAAGGTGAAACTGGAAGGTTGTTGCTTGAAATGGGATTTTCGCTGCTGCTGGATGCCAGAGGTCAGCTGTAGATTATGTACGGCACAGTCTTGCTGACCTCTAATTTCACAGCAGAGGCCAAGCGCCTGTACAAAGGCGGCACTCCCCTGCTTCCACTGCTGCCCGCATATTATTTTTCTTCTCCTCTGAGTTTCTGCTTTAAAAAATATAGTACCAAATCCAATGTATGACGTCTCTCTTTGTCTAGATTGTCATACAAGCAAGAAAAATAGGCAGTCAGAGTTTACTGAAATCATACATATCTCCACCTATTATGTATATAAAAGGCTTTTCTCTCCCCCCAGTGAAATGTTTGTTCTGCTCCCATCATGCCTCAGCGTACCCGAATTAGTTACCTACCGCGTGAGTACTTTTCCTTTACTTCCCCATCTATGCGTCTTCTTTTGCTGATGTTGTATTAATTAGAACGCGGCACAGCTCTCTCCAACGGAGGCTTTACCTTCAGACAGATGTTTTATATGCCATAAAAGATTTGTAAAAAAAACAAATAATAATAAAAAAAGACACTCAATGTTTGTATTATAAAGGAGAGTTGGGTGCCGGGAAAGTGTTATACACTTTAACGAGTGTAAAAAATAAAACATATGATGTTGAGTAATCTGTAGACGCTAATGTTGTTTTAAGCCAGTTTTGAGTTCATTTCATCTTATTTTGTTGCAATTTCAAAAAGAATTTCCTGTTGGTGTTTTGTGCTTGAAATTTAACACCATTTGAATATTCTTTGTCGTTTTCCTTTTTCACAGTATTTTACTACTGGAATCTAATCACCAGAAACATAGTTGTTTTTTTAAACTTTGGAAAGGGTTGTACGGTTTTAAAATCAAAACGTTGATCAATAAATGGTTTCACAGTTTAAAAGAAAAAGAAAAGTAAAATAATTCAACTATTAGCAATCAGACTTTTGAGAAATAACTTTTTTTTTCTAACCAAAGTGTCCTGGAAGGAAGTCATCATGCTTTTGTAACTGAATAAAGGAATAAACTATGAATATTTGTTCAGTTTTATTTCAACGGGATTCGTATAAATCACTCCTTGCCTCGGGCAAATGGCATGACATGACTTTAGATATTACACGCAGAGAAAAAGAAAGTGCTGCCTGGGTCAGGGAAGAGTGCTGTGATCCAAAAAAAGCATGTGTGAATAACAAAAGGAAATAGCCTCTGTTACATGATCTGCAAGGTATAGAATAGAATAGTTTAATGTCATAAAAGGTCATTCGAAATAAACAATTGCTGTCGTCTTGATAGTCCTCATTTTTTATAGGGAATATAGACTATAATCCAACAACAACCAAACATATGTAAACATAATTTACATGTTAATTACTAAGTAAATAGAATCAATATGACAAAAAGAAGAAAACTGTATTTAGTGTATTATTTCGGAATATTTGTTTTCCATTATTGAATGGCAGAGTGAGACAGAGATAATAAATGTGGGGGGACTGAGCGAGGGAGGGAGGCTTATGCATGCAAAAAAAGACTCATGGGCGGGTTCAATTTGGGGGCATTGATGCTAAGGTAACAAAAGGCCATCACATACTGTAGACTGTATAAAAGCAGTGGATATATTCACACAACCCAGTCTCACCGCATTTCGTGTTATAGTCACGAAATGTATTTAATCTATTGATTCATTTTCGCATTTGTTTCGTGTCACACAGAACGATTTTTAAAGCAATGTATTTCTATTGGTAGTATGTTTCGTGCCTGCACCACGTCTTTTTGTCCAGTCGAGTCTTGGAAGACCGGAAGCTGTGTGGTTCATAAAAACATGTTCTTACTCAATATCTTACCCTAACCCTATCCCTTTTATTTTAAATTGTATAATGTCTAAGTTTTTTTGCCGCCCGTGAGGAAAAGAAATGGGGCTCAGAGCCTCAGAATACTGAAATCTGTATTTTTTGTCATCTTTTTTTCCTTCTAATTTGTTAATATTTGGTGCAGGCAAGAAACATATACCAATAGAAATACATTGCTTCTAAAATCGTTCTGTGTCAGAATACTGAAATCTGTATTTTTTTAAAATCATTTTTTACTTCTAATTTGTTATTATTGCTTTTAAAATCGTTCTGTGTGACAGGAAAAAAAATGGCGAAATCGTGTTGGTGAACACGAATCAATAGATTAATTTCTTGACTATAACACGAAATGCCGTGAGACTGTGTTGATTCACGTTGACAAAACCCACTAGTTCTGCTGTTATGAAGCTTCGAGTTTGGCATTTTAGCCTTCACCATTTTGTCTATCTTGAACCAGAAGGAAGAACAAGAGGACGAGGGAGCTCAGGAGCAGCGAGGCCTAACAGGGCTATAGGTGCGGTTAGAATAGAACATGCTTAGTTAGCACTAGCTAGCTAACTTGGTAAGGTGCTTTATTATTCACCTTAACTCAATAAGGTGTCAATTCTGCGTGGGTTGGTCAGTATTACCAATACACTTGTAATGTTTCTTTTAAGACAACACATCATTATGTTAACAAAAATATCTGTTGCCTTTACAACTCTGTTTGACACAATATGTGTGCTCAGCTGTGACAGATGAATTAATTTAACCTTCTGAACTTCGCTGATTGGCTGGGAGAAAACCACATGCTTCTCGACCTCACTGAGTCGCGGGGGGGGGGGACCAATATGGTTCCTCGCCCGA